CATCGCCACTTCTCTCGCCATTGCCACCACTGCCTTCGCCGTCGCCACAACCGCCGCCGCTATTGCCACTTCTGTCACCGTCGTAGCCACCACAGCCGCCACCACCACTGCCGCCACCATCGCTGCCACCACTGTCGCCACTATCGCTGCCACCATTGCCACCACTGACACCGCTGTAGCAGCCACCGTCGCAACCACTGCCACCGCCGCCGCCGCCGTCGCCGCCATTATTGCTACTACTGCCATCACTGCCGTTGCCGTCGCCACAACCGCCGCCGCTATTGCCACTTCTGTCGCCGTCGCCGCCACCACTGCTGCCACTATCGACGCCACCACTGCCGTCACCATCGCTGCCACCATTGCCACCACTGCCGTCACCGCCAACGCCAACGCCGCCACCGTTGCCGCTACTACTACTACTTCTACTTGGTAGAAATAGTAGTAGTAGTAACCCTAACCCTAACCCTACCACTACTACCACAACCAATACTACTACTTCTACTTGGTAGAATTAGTAGTAGTAGTAACCCTAACCCTAACCCTACCACTACTACCACAACCAATACTACTACTACTACTACTACTTCTACTTGGTAGAATTAGTAGTCGTAGTAACCCTAACCCTACCACTACTACCACTACCAATACTACTACTACTACCATTTCCACCACCACTACCGGCGTGATGGCTCAATGGTTGAAGGCGCCTGGTCTTGCTATTGCAATGACTGGACTGGGTTCGAATACAAAGAGATCCCCGCCTATCATATGCAATGTGTATGATGCGTGGTTTGCACGCGTATTCATATACGCTGTGTGTGTTTGTCGTTGAAACCTCTGAAGCTAACGCAATAGAGAGAGAGAGAGTAACCTTTAAACCTTTAACTACCATATCTACCATTGTTTAAATTATTATAAAATAAATTATGATGACGATTCAAAACTTCTTTGTCAGCGAGCAACTCGATGATGATGTGATGATGATGACGATGATGATGATGATTAAGACGGTGATGACGACGATGATGATTATGCATAGTGTTGATCCATTTTTGTTTATATGCAAAGTAGGGATGTGCGAATAAAAAATATTTCGCGGGGATGTGTGAGCTATTTTTAGAATCTTTTTGTCGGAAGTGTACTGAACGAGCGATCATCAGTGATGTGATGCTTAGCTCAACTCTTCACGACCTACCTTCACTCTCTCTCTCACTTTCTCTCTCTCTCCCTCTTCGTCATTTCATTTTCTTCATTTTATTATTCTATGATTCACTGAAAACTTACATCATCATTATTTTTAACAACAAAAACAACATCGTCATCATTCCCATCATCATCATCGTCATCATCATCATCATCGTCATCATCATCATCATCGTCGTCGTCGTCGTCATCATCTTCATTTGTGTCTTCTCAACAATCAGTAGTTTTTTAGCCAACTACAAAATCTACAAACAGTCCATTACACATAACTAAAGAATTAAATCACAAACACAAGCAAAAATACATGGACACATACTAACATTCATTCATACATACATGCATGCATACACACACACACACACACACACACACACACACACACACACACACACACACACACACACACACACACACACACACACACTCACACACACTCACACACAGAGAGAGAAACACACGTACGTACTATTCTGGCATACGCAATTGTACACAGTAGAGTGCACATAAACCATCGCCGTTGTCGGCTATCAAAGCGACAACAGAATGGGCCACACACGCACACACACACACGCACGCACGCACACACACGCACTGTACTGCACACACACACACACGCAACAGTATTTTTTATCTTTGATTCGACAGATTACACTTGTTTATGATGAGATGCCGTCGGTCAAACAAATTATGAATCATTTGACAATTTTGAATAAACGAAAATAAATTTATATTTGATGTTAATTTATATTACTTTTATAAGTGAGTCAAAGATATTAGACGAATAGCATTCTTATACATAAAAGTTTTTGGTGAAAATTTAAATTTTTTCGCTTTAGACGAGTTTTGAAATCCGCTCTGAATTTCGTAAGTGATGGAGAATTAGTCAGAGAAGGAGGTAGAGTGTTCCAGAGAAAAAGGCCAGAAAAAAGCAAATGCAGATTTAGCAAAGGAGTGTTTAACACGAGTTAACAAGAGGTGAGAACATGAAGACGATCGTAAACCGGCTCGTTTAGGTTCAATTAATATATCTGATAAGTACTTATGAGGTAATTTAGATTAAGGCTTATACATTAACGTGCAAATTTTAACATTAGTTTTAAAGTTAATTAAAGTTATGGTGGGTTACTCTGTGAAAAGACAGAACTAACTCTTCGTAAAGTCTAAAATTTTAGCACGAAAATTATTCAAATTTCGCGATAGTTTGTCATCAAAGAGATATCAGAATGGTATCAGATCTGATATCAAACTGATTGATAACAAAATGATATCATAACGATATCATTTCACCATAGAAAACAAATATTTTTCCTTATTTGAAATAAACACGCATAACGAGCAAAACAAATGAGCGATGATGAATAAATGATGAAGATGCTTGTAAGGTAACATTACACACACACACACACACAGACAGACAGACAGACACACACACACAGACACAGTCAGACACAAACACATAAATACATTTTATGCCTTGATTAATACTGATTGCCGTTTCTAATGAATTATTAAACTGCTATTGGCTCCATTAATTGTCAATCAATCATTAACGTGGGCGGAGCTATCAACAACTAGTAAAATACTGGTTTAAATGTTATTTCATAACAACAACAACCAAACTGTAATAGTATTGAATAGCTATTTATGTATACAACTAAATGAAACCATACATAAAAGGTGTTTAAACATGGAGTTTAAACACAAATGTATATAGATGGTTTCAATCATATTCAATTAATGATATATACGTATGTATGTATCTATCTATCTATCTATCTATCTTGATAGCTGTATCATTGTGATGGTATACTTGTAAGTCTTAATGTAACAACGTTATGTTAGTTATGTAAAGTATAATGTAAAAGTTTAAGTACAATGTAAAGCACCATGGCTGTTTGATGTGTAATGATATATTTTCTGACTCTATTAGTAGTAATGTCGTTATTATAACAAAATTTAAGAGGCTAAAATGTTTTATTTAAAATATATCTGACCAATTTTTAAACGAAAATTATTAAAGTTAATAAGTTTATTAAACTCTCTTAACATTAACATCGGATAGTTCGAAATGGACTATAAAGTTTAGTGGTTGAAAGGGATGGATTGCTTGTCTGTAGAAGAGATGAATGTACGTTCATTTTATAAAATACACACAAATCTTGATAATTTTATAACAGGATAATGTTTTACTAGCACCATCATGGTCACCATCATCACCACCAACAACAACATGAACATCATCGTCGTCATCTTCCCATCCCAGCCAACAATCATCACAACGACCTCATCAATTATCCTACACAACAACAACTGTAATGGCTACACGTATAATCGCTGTCCTCACTCATAATCATCATCGTCGTCGTCCTCGTCATCATGTTGCCATTCTGAATGAGTAATAATGAAAGTCTCAAACATTTTCATCACAATTCTTCAAATCACATCTCTGGCAGAACTGCTCCAAGAAGATCGAGTACAGATGACACTGATCAACACATCTCCAGTCGGTTCGACTGTCGGTACGTTACCGACTATGCGAGACACTCAATACCGATTATCGACTGTTAGCGATTTGTTCAATCTCAGTGGCTGCGCGATCAGTGATTGCATCCTCTCTACAAAGAGGTTGGTGCGAGAGACGGATAAATCACCGCAGAGACTCTTGGTGATGAGCTTGCCATCTCCTCCGAGGCACCTCATTTACGTTGACGTCAGCATCGTATCCGGAGGCTCGCTACCGATTCCAACACCAACTTTCCCCCGACCTGTCATCAATGTTTCATTCGCTGAGAATGTTCCGTCCACGAAGGTGCAGATCGATACTGCGAAAGATAGGAGTGGATCGGACAATAATAACATCGAGTATTCCATCGTGCAGGATGAGGGCTCTGATAAGTTTCTGTTGACCCTGAATAGGACAGCATCAAAAACTCTTCTCTATCTATCGAATAAAGTGCCTTTAGACCGAGAAGAGATGGATCGGTACGTTTTGAATGTATCTGCCCAAGATGATGGCATACCGGTTCGAATCGGATATTTAAAAGTGAACGTACTCGTACTCGACGCCAACGATAATGCTCCGACCTTCAGCAGCGAGTTGTACGAGTTGAACATTAGCGAATCGGCTCCAATGAATGCGTTTGTCTTTCAGATGACCGCTTCCGACGTCGACTCGGGACCGAACGGTTCAGTGAAGTACCGACTAATCGACTCTTACGACGGACAGTTTGCAATCGATTCGAACAGCGGGGATGTAACAGTGGCCAAATCACCTCTCAACTGTCCATCGTCCTGCTTGATCAGCACCAACTCCATGCGTGCACAGACCAGGTCCTGCTCCGAATTCACGTGCATGATTTCTGTTGAAGCTTTCGATTCAGGTCAGCCACAAATGTCATCTCGGTCCTATCTAGCGATATATTTATTGGCCGAAAATAACCACAGTCCAGTCACCAGTTTCACCAACGTCCAGTCCAACAATACATTGTTCTTAAGCATGAACAGTTTGAAAGATGAGACGGTCATATCGATTGTTAAAATATCTGACGATGACAGGGGCGATAATGGAAGAGTTACGTTGTCACTAACTTCCGGAAATGAATTGTCGGTATTTAGATTGGACCCCTCCTCAATTTCAGTGATGTACCTGTTGAAAATTGCAAACGTGGACGTCGAGAGAAGAGCCAAAAAATTGATTTATAATTTAAATTTTCTCGCGTCTGACTTCGGAACACCGAGGCGATGGTCAAATTCGGTGCTGAGAGTAATATTCGATAGTTCAGTCAGCCCGTCAATTATTTTTCAAATGCAAAAGTACGAAACTGCCATCTCGGACATTTCCTTGATTGGCAGTTTGGTGGCCGTCATCAAAGCTACCACAACCGCTTCAACCTCAAACAACATCACCGACTTCACCAATGATGACATTTTGCTCTCTATCGAATCTGGGAACACGGATGGGTGGTTCAAAATCGATTCAAATACCGGATTGATAACAACAAACTCTTACTTAAATGCCAAAATAAAAAATGAGATAAAATTAAACGTCTCAGCTACCATTAAAAACACAAAAGTTTCGAATTTTGTTCAAGTAACCATTGCAATCGTATCTAACCGACCGATCTGTCCGAAGTTTACTTTTGACACTTATTACGTAACAAAAAATGTCACATTCACCGAAACCGGATTTCCGACAAACGACGATAATTCGATCATCACACTGTCAGCCGGTAGGGATGTGCTGTACGAGTTGGACGAGCTAACTTTAGTGAAATATCCGGGTATGTTCTGTATCGATCGGAGGCGTGGACAGCTGACGAGTAAGATTCAAAATCGGTTTCGCGTCGGCGTTTATGAAATAAATGTTCTCGGAAAATTGTCTTCAACGTCATCATTCTCATCGTATTTAAACAGTTTTTACTGCAACGTTTCCAGTACGAAAGTATCGCTAACAATAACGTCATCATCATCATCGTCTTCCTCGCCATCACAATCGGATAAATTACCGACAAACTGCTACCCATCGCTGTACTTTGCACAGTTAACTGGCTTTGAAAATAATGGAGATGTTGTTTTAAGCCTTCTAAACATGATGGCAAGAGTTGACAGGGCAAGCTTCAAATACGTCATCCTCAATCAAACGTGTCGGACAACATATTACCTCGATACAAGCAACGATTATATCCGGATAATAACGAGTAAATTAGCGGAGCTGTACGCTGTCGAGATGTGCTGGTTGAATTTAACGATTAAACACGTTGCAAGTGATGACAATCGCTGTTCGCAACCGATTCAAGTCCTCGTGTCGAGTAGCAACGAAACGAATAAAAGATTTCGGTTCGTAAATCGATACCAGTACATCAACGTCAGCGAAGATGTCGATAATAAAGCGGCGCCAGAATCTTCAACACCCGCACCATTGGTCCAACTGAAGTTAAACATTCACTACAACATCGTTAGCACAATTTCATTCGCCATTACAAGCGGCGATGAGTTTGGATATTTTCGAATCGACACAAAAACCGGTTGGCTCTATCAAGCAAATCGTCTCGATAGAGAAATGGTATCGAGTTTTATGCTGACGGTTGTGGCTTTCGATTCTTACGAGTTCGATAGGATGTTTGTCGTAATAAACATTACAGACATAAATGATAACAAACCGCTGTTTAAAGACTTGTGTAATGTCATTAGAAATGGAGACGGTATAGAAGTTCTAGTAGATGTCGATCTACCTGTCGGGTCAGAATTGATAACATTACGAGCGTCTGACTTTGATTCGAATCTCAACGGTTCAATTACTTACGATCTTTTGAACATCGCCAATTCCGATTTCATCAGTTATTTCACCATTGATAATACGAAAGGAGCAATAAGATTGAGGAGAAAAATTAATTTGCCGACACCTACTTTGATGAATCTTCGCGCGATTGCAAGAGACAAAAGTGCATCTTCGCTAAACTCCACTCTGGACATCGTATTCAGAGTTGAATCCTCCCAAACTCCTATGCCACTAATATACTCGATTTTTAACAATTCTACAATTAAACAGCTTGTTGTACAAGTTATCGAGTCGATACCAACGAATACTGTATTTTATTGTTTGTCGAATAATTCCGAGATCAATTTATTTAGGTATAAAATTTTATACGGCAACTTCGACGGCAAAATTCAAATTTTTCCAAACGGTTGTTTCTACACGTCAGACAAGTTAGACAGGGAGAAACTTGAGATCTACGAAATTTTGGTCGGTATTGAAACGGTTTATGCCTGTACCGAATATTACAACAGGTTTGCGCACATCACTGTTGTTTTCATCATACTTGATGCAAATGACAATAAGCCGATATTTTTCAACTCGACTTATTATTTTAAGATTAAAGAAAATTTCATGGTCGGTTCGGTGGTAGGGATGGTACAAGCGTACGATAATGATATCGGATCGAATTCCGATCTTTTATATTCCATCAATGATAACAACGACAGCAACAGCGTTTATTTCAAAGTGCATCCGATAACAGGTGTAATAAAAATCGGTAAAAAACTCGACCGTGAATATATAAAATCATCATTCAACTCGACCCGGATACCGATCACAATAACAGCTACCGACAGAAGCAGCACATCTCCTCAATCCTCTTCAACACTCGTATACATTGATGTGATAGACTACAACGATAATGTACCTTCCTTCGCCCAACCTAACTACACTAATTTCATTTTTAGATCAATCCCAATCTGGTCCACCGTTGTGACTGTTCACGCTACGGATGATGACGAGGGTGAAAATGGTCGCGTTTCATATTATATTCTGACCTCAAAAACCCCGTACACTGACCTCATTTATCTTGATGCCAGCAACGGCACGTTCGTTATTAGTTCCAAGTTAACATACGTTCCAATAACGAAGTTTGAGTTTTCAGTGGTTGCCATTGACAATGCACCTGCAGGTCAAAGGTTAAACAGTACAACTAAGGTCACGATAATGATTATTGATGACGATGATAATTTTAGTGACGATGACGATGAAGATGGCTGGTTGATGTGGACGTGTGTACTGAATGAGGAGACACTGATCTCACGTTACGCTGCTAATGGTACTTACGTTGGTCCAGTTTCGGCCGCCCTCAGAAACAGAGATGTGCGTGGTTTCTACTCTGACGTCACATATTCAATGGTAAACATAGGGATGGGCGTGCCGAGATTTTATTTAAAAGGTGGTACGATATATTGGAGGGGTCCACAAAGTAGTGATGGCGGTACAGTGGCGGTTAAAATAGTTGCTCAGACAATGCTTAACTCAACAGCAAAACTTTCATCTTCGTCATCGAATGTTACGCCCGCCCTACCAAACATTTTAAAGATCGAAAAAACAATATCGATTCGAATAACCGACTTGAACATTGGAGCACCACTGTTTCGTTCGAATGAAGATAGATGTTGGAACAAGTTTAAAAGTAATAATAACAACTTTCTGATCCAAATACCAGCAAATGTGACGATAGGTTCGGTCATATTTGCCTTAAAACCGTTCACAACATTTAATCAAAACTTCGAAAATTTTAATTTCACCCTTCTAAATGCATCAACGACATCGGCACAAAAATATCCGCCAATCAATGTACATCCCTGCAGCGGCGATGTGCGTGTCAATGATTCGTTAACCGTCGGTAGTTATCGGGCGGTTTTTCAGGTTTGTTCAGCTGGAAATGTTGTAGTTCAATTGCAGACATGTTCTCAAGTAATTTACACCATTCATGTTCAAAGGAGCACGAGTTTTAGCGATGTAACTATTCCGAAATTTAAATTCGGTAGCATGCTGACGGTTAATGTTGATTCGAAACCTGGGAGTTACGTCGGTAAGGTGGTTGCGTTTCTGGGGATGGATTACGGTGCAAATATTCGTTATCATTTGAAACAAGTCAGCAATGACAGTGTCGAATATTTCTCAATTAACCCTTATTATGGTATCGTCTACACGATTAAAATGCTACCGATGAATATATCGACGCATACCGTTCGAATATCGGTTACATCCGGTCCAACCGATTTCAACATGGCCTACAAGGATGTACAAATATTCGTCACGGCAACAATTTTGTCGGTCCTTAAAAATAATTATTCGACGTCAATTTTTGAAAATAATTTGCCGGTCACTAAACTCGTCGATGTATCCGCCCAGAAAACAACCCTCTCCAACGAACCGCTAAACTATTACATTGTCGCTATACTTTCAAAGCCAAAAACTGTTCAGCCCATCACTGATGACGGCAACGTACCGATTTCAATCGACGCGAATACCGGTTCAATGAGTACGAATCGGATGTTGGATCGAGAAAGGGATGGTTTCGAGTTGGCTGTGTCGGTACTCGCTCTTCAAAGAATCGGATCGGACGGTCTGTGGGCCGCTGGTTTTACCAACGTACGTTTATTATTATTACTATTATTATTATTATTATTGTTATTATTTGTATGTATGTTTAAGTGCTTCTGGCAATCAAAAATATGACTGATTAATTATTAACGATATCTTTTGTAGTGGTGATAATGACGATGTTGTTGTTGATGAAGATGACGTTGTTGTTGTAGTAGTTGTTGTTGTTGTTGATGTTGATGATGACAACAATGATGATGATAACGATGATGGTGATAGAAATGATGATGGTGGAGTGAGTTTGGCTGACAGCAATCATCAGCTTATAAAGTATGTGCACTTTTTCGTGTGCCAGCCAGTGCAGTTTTTTCATTGTTGAAATAGTGGCTTATGTTTCGGGTTCAAATTGTGAACATACATATATATATATAACAGTATGTATGTTTGTATGTATGTATGCATGTATGTATGTTTGTTTGCATGTATGTTTGTATGTATGTTTGTTTGCATGTATGTTTGTATGTATGTATGTATGTATGTATGTTTGGATGTGTGTATGTAACTCCGTGTATATTTAATGTAAGGTTAGAGAAGCTGATGATGTATGAATGGTCTTTTAATGTCGAAATAAATCACATTTTAATGCAAGCATTCATCTGATGGCAATGATGACGATGATGATGATGATGACGATGATAATGATGTCGTTATGTTGCACAAATACATACAAAAATGTTGTACGCAATCGTTTTGTACAAACGAAAAAATGTAAACATTGATGTATCATGTGTTAGTCTATTAAATATGCATGAAGATGATGCATGCATTCATTAAAACGCGCACACACACATACACACATACACGCACACACGCACAAA